TGTCGAGTAAAAGGTACTTCCAGATTATAAATCAGAACGTAACATAACAAAACCTTGCTTAAATAGAGCGTGCGTTTTACTATTTTGAGAAGTAAAGCTGTTTCACGCTACATTTGTGACAAACAACATCAGCCTCCCTTAGTAACCTATACAGCTGCCTATATGCCTACAACACTGCAACACGTATTCAAAAGTCAATTAATGTTTGGTACACCAGTAGACTGTTTTTTCCCGATTTTTAAGGGCTCAGAACATGGTTCGAGTTAGCGAGGGTAAAATTATATAGAAATCATCTAAGGGGAAACAAAAACTATACTTTGAGTTAGCGGGAGGTTCGAGTTACCGAGGGTAAAATTACAGTAAATGTATGACGGAAATCCAGGGGGAAATCGATTTTGGTTCGAGTTAACGCGAGGTTCGAGTTATCGGGAGTCAACTGTAGTCATTAATTATCATCCGTAGTCCAGGTGTTTATAACACACAAGATCTACACAGCATCACTGACTGGATTCACATCCTTCAACTACCCATGATAAGCGAGGAGAACACTTCATGATTAACTATCGGGAAGCACATCACTGTTAGGTTACCAGGAGACACCACTTAGACCACTGTAGTGTTGGTCGGTCAGAGATCCTATGAGAACGCGAAATTGAAGATTGGGACTTGAATATTAAACAATCAGGCGCTCGCTCAAGTGGCAAATTACTGACTTTAGGGTGACTAAAATTAGCTAATAAGATCCTGCACGGTCCCCGCCTATTCTGATCTTTGAAACTTGCAGAGTATCGGCAGTTCAAAAGAAACTTAAGCCTTACTTTATAAAAAATGATATGCTGTTCGGCTCACACATTTTTTTATTTATGATCATTTATGTCATTCAGCAATAATGAACTCCTTCAGAGAAGACAATTCTAGTAGGTTGTCGGCAACTGTCTACCATAACGACCATTGAAATAAAACGGTTTCTAATTTTAGGTCGTTCTTCACCGGCTTCAATTCAAGATTCAAGGATGATGATACGGCTAATCCGTGTCGACAAGTTCCGACTGTTTTAAATTTTGAAAACCAATCATGGTAAAACAATACAG